AAGTTTAAGTTGGCGAACGGATCCGTTTGTTTATCATTCGCAATCGGATCGGATACGGAGTTCGCAAACGGATAGAATATGTAGAAATACGAAATAATGTGCTGTGGTTTTCTGAAAACGGGTCGCGTGCGGTCCGTATGCGGTTCCTATTTCAACCGTGCGCGAACGCTGAGCGTCCGTAACGGATCCGTTCGCATTTTACCTGTGAAGATATTCACAAGAAAAATCTCGATAAATTGAGTTCAGTTTCAGAAACGGACCAAATGTTTGAATTCACTGTGAATGTTACTTATGTTGATGTATCGAATGATGCCAAACTCACCATCACATTTGGAAATGATACTGAACACAAACAATATACAATTTCGAAAGAATCCTCTCCATCGTCATCTGTATACACTGCTATTAGTAACAATTTGACAGTTCTCTATTTTACGAATCAGACAAGTTCGACTGGATTCTATTTAGAGTTTAAGATAGACTCAGCACAATCTCCGGGTTCCTATGGTAACCAATTTTTATTTTGACCATTCGATTTTTTAAAAAATTCAGCATCAACATTCATGCCGTTTTTCGTCATTCTTCTATTCCTGTTGTAAGACTCTTTCGTCTAAAAAACAGTCTACTGGTACACTCCCATAATTGTGTCCTCCTTTTTATGAAAAATATATGTTGCATTATACGTTTTTACAAAACAGAAACAAAGTCATCAAGACACTTTCATTCACATTATCAAATCAAAGTCAAGCTTTGAATGAGAAAACGGCTTTTCCATTGCTCAAAATGAATTGATAAACCACTCCAGCCGACATGCTCATTGGAAGAATTTTCTTCAACTGTGCTTGTCTGAAAATTCGAGGTTTTTGAAAGAAAACACTGAAAGTAGTTAGCCATACGTGTATTCCGTTCCTCGATTATTTGGGGTTGGAGTCCCTTTAATGATAGCAACGACGGCTGTCTAAAAATAGATTTGAACTTTGCTAGAATCTTCAAAAAGCTTACGGAATCCAAAATCTGAACATCAGTGAGTGTTTGGGGGATATAGGTGGCAGAAAGGAGAGTCGTTTGCTTTTCCGTGCTGTCCACATTGGCAGTATACTTGGAGTTGAGTACTGGGTTCAGTTCGACATAATGGAGATCTCTGGTATCTAGAAATTTTTCTTCAAATCAGTATACTTTTTGATATCAATTGATAACTCACATCCGCCTTCTTGAACCAAGAGCATGTCTCTGTGAGTACTAGCTTCCACGTTCACTACATAAATGTGCTGACTGTTTGAAATCCATTGCAATTCGTTTTGATAAATCATGAAAAGACTGAAACTGAAAAATAAATAGTTCTTTCAATTTTGACCTACCTTGCAGCATAATTCGTGTTCAAATTCTCTCCATCAAATACAAGAGAACTTCTGAGTGAGTAGAAATCCTTGGTGGTTTGTGGGAATGAGACTAAAGAAACTCCAGTCACTGCACTGTATCCTATGTAATACGCATTGTTGGTAGCGTTGATCAATTGTGGAGTGGAACTGATTGCGGAAGCTTTTGTGACCTTGGTTGGGACTGAAAGTCAGTATTTTCTGGATGTCCAGCTAATAATAGCTTCTTACGTTTCATCCATGTAATCTTGAATGCAAATGTGGCTGGATTGATAACATTCAAATAGACAATAAACATTCTTGGAGGGAAGTAATACGGTTGCAATCCTTCTGTTGTTGTTCTGAAATTCTTTTTGAGCTTTATAGATTTTTAAATTATTAGTAGTACATTAAAACTCTTCCAGCAGAATCAGCGAATTGGAATTCTGAGTCAGCATCTCCAGTCTTTCCACTGACAATCAGTTTTGCATAATATCCATCTGGCACATTCACATTCCATGTGCACTTCTGTGATCCTTGGAGAGCAGGAGCTGTTTTGTTCTCATTCCAACTAGAAGGCCAGTAATACGGTTGAGAGTTTGCTGGTTTATTTATTTCACCGGTTGATATTGTGCACACTGAAAACACAGTTATAATTGAGAATGATTCTTGGAGACCGTACCGTTTCCAGCCGACTCTACTAGTAAAATTAACGACGCATATACTAGAAACTTATACATTTCAGAGTGAGTAGTTTGAAAAAAAACGTACAGAAAAATAATTTTATAGAACAAGAATAGATGACAATTTATAAGAAGGAATGTTTGAGGTTGTTAAGTCTAGGCTTTGATGCTCTTTGTTCTCAATTTCGGTCGATAAGAAAGATCAAACAGACTGATTCTGATGAAAAGAGAGTAATTCGAGTACAAACTTTGAATTTATTAGTTGGAAGAGTCACGAGATTGTTTTCGGAAATTGATAATTGATAATGTTGCTGAAAAGTTTGTTCTTGAACTATTTGAGAGGCAATATGACCTCTACTTGAATATATTTGTCTCTGAATTATGCCTGAAACGCAAGTAATACATGTTGAAGAAATACCATCTCTTGAACCAAGTTGCTGCCTGAAAATTCTGAAAAAAAACCAAGTCTCGGTAAAGAAACTTAGAAAAAAGATGTACATAAATTCTTCAAGTGTGTGAATATTAAAATTTCGAAGTTTTACTGTCTCTTTTGGTTTGGAGAGAGCATTTTGCAATTTTCAGTACTGTACAGTGAACAGTTCAGTACTGTACACACGTGTGATATCACTCTGTAAGTTAGGTTTTGATGATTGAAAAACTGCTCAGATCCTCATAGTTGTGTGATTTCCGTAATCGAATTTAGAAGAAAGGCCTGAAATAAGGACCCACTGACTAATAATTTGAGTCAATTTATCTCAGTCCTTGTCAAAGATATGAAAAATTTGTCCACTGATAAATTGTATATCATAATATCAGAAGCATTTTACCAGTTGACACATTTTTGATATTTTTGACAGGAGCCAAGAAAATCTAGCTCGAAATTGACAGTATGGGAACCCTTCTATTACAAGTATTACGGTAAATCCAAGAGGTGTCCAAATTTGATTTTCATCTCAACATTCCGATTTTGTTTGCAAATGTCCCAAATCTCATAGAAGTGATTAAATTGGTATCGATTGAGGAGCGGAACCTCGTAAGTCATCTAGATCTGATTTCAAATTTTTGTATTCCACGAATAAAATAAAAAATCTCTGAGGAAAAATGACAACCAATTGAATTCAGAACCACCGATTAGATTGAATATTGAATATACCGAATACGGATTAGGAATTATGAAACAGAAATATAGCAAAAATATGGATTCTATACAGCGGAATAAAAAAATTCATTAGTGGTTTTTACATTAATTTTGATAATTTAGGAAAGATTTAGGTTCTGAGTTGAACGAGAAGTTAGATAAAAGTGGAAACATTGAAATTCTGAATTAACAAACTTTAAGTGTGAAATAGACCAATTTAATTAGCTCTCTCTGATATTTTGAACTGACTTCTTTACTGATAAATTTGTCACTGTGTCTGGGAATTGTCATCATGAAGCCAACTCCCTAAACTAAACTGTGCATCCACCCTTGTAGTTTGTATTGTCGTCATTTTTTAGCATCCAAATTCAATAAAATTATATCAAAGCAATGTTTATCAGCGCACGAAATCATCATACAAGCTAGAGTATATAAAGCGAACCTAATGTGCAAATTAAATACGAAAATGAACAGGTTCCTGTTTTTGCTTCTCGCATCCTGCGTTCTTGGTACTTCAGGATACCGGTGTACCAATGGAACCCAAGTCATTAATCCACCAACAGATCTCTCCACACCAACATTCTTCCCATTCTATTGGAATGGCGTAGACCCTGTTCCTTACATTGAGCACGAGGGTCCAGGATGTTTTCTCAATGTGAATGTTCCATCTGGATACTATGCAAATGTTACTATGTTCATGCGTTTGGACAGTTCTGGAAATTATGTTTATTATCCGAACAGAAAGATTGTCACGTAAGTCTGTCTTGATTTTCGAAGGCTTATGTAAATACTTCTCAGGCTTCAAAACGACGATCATCACCCATTTATTTTCACAAATCCATACTTCAAAGTTAGTGTTTCCGCCGCAAATCACACTGGACCAGGAACCAGCGAATTCGCCTTTAAAATCATCTGGACCAAATTTCCAGATGTTAAAAAGAATGTGATTGGCATTTACAAGGGACAGCCACCAGTTGCAGTAATACCAAATGGTGAACTGACAACATTCCGTGGTGATCCTTCCTCGATGATGTCGTTGATTGGATTCTCTTTGGAAGATCCATCAATGAATCATCTTCTCCGTCAAACTGCTCTTTTCGGCGGAGATTCATTCAATTCCGATTATATTGGAACACTGGATCAAGTTGTTAAATCGAAGCAAATTTTGACAACCTATGGAAATATGATTTCAGTTTACACTTTTTGATTGAACAGTCAAATTAATTATTCACTATTTATGAGACAGAACTTTCAAGATTCCAGAGTTTACAACACTTACGAAGGAATCAACATTCCTTCCTCTGGAAATCATAACGTCTACATGAACGGGGTCTTTGGAAATCATTTAACTGTAACTGATTACAATGGACCAGAGATTATCAAGGAGTTTATCACTTTCCCATCTACTGGAACCATCAGTATTTATGAGAATTCCATCTCCAACACAACATGCATTGCCACTCTGACGTAAGAAGTCTAATCTTGAAACTCTTCTGAATCATAGTTTTCTTTATTTTCAGAAGTTCCAACTATCAGCAACAACTTCCACTGGAAGTGAAAGGAAATATGAAATTCTACTCGTTAATTGGAAATGGATTCTACGAAATGGTCCTCACACGAGATGTGTCCAGAGCAGGAAGACTTTGAATTGGATTATTTTGAAATCCAATTAATATTTTTGTACATTAAAGAAACTTGAATGAACATATTTGTTTTTAATATAGTTTCTATTTTCTGTATATTATTGGTAAATGCCTATTCCTGCTCCGGTTTTCGTGTTCGGTTAACTCGGTTCATTTCCAACCGTTTTGATGGTGGAATTTTTGGAATTTCGAGCCAAACTAGAACTTCAGACAGTGGCTGAAAGATCGGACTACGTTATTGGGGAATAAGCTAATTTCTGACACGTTTTACAAGTTTCAATGTTTTTGTGGAGATTTAGTGACTTACCGAAAAACCTGTAATAGAAGGGCAGCTCATCTCGGTTCCTGTCAGAGATATAAAAATTTTGTCAACTGATAAATTGTTTATCGTAAAGTTAGAATTTTTTCTAAAATTCAAAGAAATCTTATATTTCAAGTCCTTTTTTAAAATCTTTCTCTGTCTAAAATTTTCTGAAAAAGAAGCTCTACTTTTCATTCAAATTTAAACAGAAGATTATGGGTTAACTTGATACTGTATCGATGCTTTTCCGCTGCTGATTACATACTGAATAATATCTGCACCAAATGTCAATGGAAGATTCGATTGAATATCATATCCCCTGAAATTACGATTCATTGAAAATTTTCCTCCGAGTTTTACTCACGAAATGCTGTCATGATATCCATGTTGATTTTGTGATCCGTAGTAAACAGTAAGAAAAGAATTCTGCATTAATCACAATATTTCTGTAGTCTCGAGAATATAACATACCACATTAATCGACACATAATTCAATACATCAGTCTTCCGTCCCACTGATATGAATGCAGTTTTCTTGTCACCTCCATCTACAGAAACGTTGCATGTTGAATTCATCGCACAGTCCATTTCAACGTATTGTGTGATGTCCTTGGTATCTGAAAAAGAAAGGTATATAATATTTTCATAATAAGTGCTCACATCCAGATTCTTGAACCAACAGTTGATCTTGTCGATGTCTAGCTTCAAGGTTGACAACATAGATTATGTCTGCAGAAGAGATCCATTGTTTACCAGACTTGTAGAGCAAGTAAAGACTGGAACGATCGAAACACTTGATTTGGATTGATTTTCAAAGGCTCACTTGGAAATATACTTGCCATCATAATTCTTTCCTTCAAAAACAAGTGTACTTCTCAATGTATGATAATTCTTTGGATCAGCAGGGAAGGCTAGAAGAGAGAGTCCTGTGATAGCACTGTAATCAGCAGCAAACACTCCTTCAGTGATATTCACAAGCTCTGGAGTAGCTCCAATTCCTGCGGAGTATTGGAGTGCAGATGGGACTAAAAATTGAGATAGGTTTGTTGTATGATTTTTCAAAAAACTTACACTTTGCCCAAGTTATTTTGAATCCTAGTGTTGCAGCAGCAACATTAGAAATAATGAAATTGAATTTAGAGGATGGGAAATAGTAGGGTTCCTTATTTTCATGTGTTGTTCTGAAACCAGTTAAGACTTCTAAAAAGTTTATCCGATGCTCCTCACTTTATAATATTTCCAGCAGTATCCACAGTTTTGAAGTAGGAAGAGTTGTCATTCATTTTTCCACTGATAACCAGTTTCGCGTAATATCCAGATGGAATAGTTACTGTCCAACTGCAAGTTTGCCCCGCTTCTAATCCTGGCGCAGTCTCATTCGTTCTCCATGTTGATGGCCAGTAAATGGCTTGACCGTTTACCGGTCGATTCAACACATTTCCAGTAGTGCACGCTGAAATCTATAATTAGTTCATTATCTACGATTCCAGAGCCTACCGTTTCCCGCCTCAGAAACAGCTGTGGCAAAAAAGAAAAGTGCAAGAATAACTAAAAACTGAGCCATTTCAAAACGCTATACCGCCCAGAATGGAAAGCGGTTTATGTACTAGAAAAAATGATGATATTATGAAGACGAAAGTGTGAAAATGGGCGTTAAACTTTCTGATCTGCACGTTAGATGTCTTGTGTTTAGTGTTTTTGTGGGATTCAGATGAATGGATTGACTGGAGACATTGTTGAAATATAACAGGTCGAATTAGAGAACCGAAATTTTCAATTTGAAAAAACGTTGACTGTTCTTTGTTATTAGACCCTTTCTCTCCATTCATTATTTGTGCTTAGGTTTAGTTACCTTTAATTACCCTGGCCGGAAACACACGAAATTACGGAGCACATAATCGCTAATTCGAAGATATCCTTTAGCAAAAACTCTACACCCTAGCTGCTCATTTTGTACAAACTACGAAGCATGACAATGTGATTATTTGGTTTCTCCCACCCAATATCAGTTATGACGAATGATCGTACACGATGATAATTCTTTGTCAGACGGGAGAGTTCAGAGACATGATCCAAAGTTTAAAACATAGAAACTTTGAACTTACTTTCTCTCTCTCTCTCTCTCTCTCTCTCTCTCTCTCTCTCTCTCTCTCTCTCTCTCTCTCTTTCCTTTTTTGTATCTTCTTCATGTCCAAGTTTCGGTACGAATTTTATCCGTTCTTTCCCTTCCCCCAATCTATATATGAAAGAGGGAAGGCGCGGCGCCCTTAAGAGTCAAATTTGAGCCAAATTTGAAACTTGATTTTCTCGAAACTGGTAGCTCCTCAGCAAAATCTGAATACATATTTGAAAATCTCTCATTCTCAGCTTTCGAATGATATAGGTCTCATGCCGAAGTTCCACCCCCCGTTTACAACCTTCCCTAGTCAGTTTTTTCTATCAACCGACAAAGAACACTGACGATTCTAACGTGCATATCAGGAAAGCAAATGACCATTTCCGTGCTTTCTCTTAAAGTAATATCATCATTTTTCTAGTACTTAAACCTGTTCCAGTCTCGATAGTTTCCCATTGAAAAATGGCTCAGTTCCTAGCCTTTTTCGTTTTTCTTTTATCTCTCACTGCGATTTCTACTGCGGGAAATGGTTCGTTTTATATTTAGAGGCAATACCGTAATCTCTGATATTTCAGTGTGCACTACTGGAAACGTCTTGAATCGACCAGTAAATGGTCAAGCCATTTACTGGCCATCAACATGGAGAACGAATGAGACAGCACCCGGATTAGAAGCAGGACAATCTTGCAGTTGGATAGTTACTATTCCATCTGGATATTACGCGAAACTAGTTATCAGTGGAAAAATGAATGGCAACTCTTCCTACTTCAAAACTGTGGATACTGCTGGAAATGTCATAGAGTGAGTGGTTCGAAAAACGTTTTTTATAATTTTGGAATTATTATATTTAGATCAACACACGAAAAAAAGGAACCCTACTACTTCCCATCATCTAAATTCACTCTGATTGTCTCGAACGAGGCTGCTGCCACACTGGGATTCAGAATAACATGGGCAAAGTGTACGTTTTTTTTTGAAATTTGTTCTATTACAACAAGCATAATTTTCAGACCCATCTACACTTCAATACTCCGCAGTGATTGGAGCTACTCCACAGTTAGTAAATATCACTGAAGGAGTTTTCGCGGCTGATTTCAGCGCTGTCACAGGACTCTCCCTTTTAGCATTCCCCGCTGATCCAAAGAATTATCATACATTGAGAAGTACACTTGTTTTTGAAGGAAATAGTTACACTGGAATCTATATTTCAAAGTAAGATACTCATTTAATTTTTCCCCAACGACGATTTATTTCAGTCTTTACTTGCTCTATAAGTCTCGGAACCAGTGGATCTCATCTGGAAATACTATCTATGTTGTCAACCTTGAAGCTAGACATCGGCAAGATCAACTTTTGGTTCAAGATGCCCAATGTAATATTTCTTCCTGAAACGGTTTTATGAACTCTGTTTCAGATACCAAGGACATCACACAATACGTTGAAATGGACTGTGCAATGAATTCAACATGCAATGTTTCTGTAGATGGAGGTGACAAGAAAACTGCATTCATATCCGTGGGAAGCAAGACTGACGTATTGTATTGGCTGTCCGTTCATGTGGTATGTTACTTTTATAGCTATACATACACAGATTATAATTTTTAACAGGACGCTTTCTTCACTGTCTACTACGGATCACAAAATCAAGAGGGATATAGAATCAGCCTTTCGTGAGTTTAAATCATAGGTGGCTTTTGGATGAAATCATTTTAGGGGATATAACATTCCGTCAAATCTTCCATTAACGTTTGGTGGAGATGTCATTCAGTATGTCATCACCAAGGGGCAAGCATCGATGCAATACCAAGTTAATCCATGATTTTTTGAATATTTTTTGAGTTCCGTGATATTTGGTGATTATCTTTGAATATATGTATGTAATCTGATAAAAGTATGGCAGTTGTAATTTGACACAGTGCAGAAATCAGAAAGATATCATCTTTACTATTAACAAACACCAAATTCTGTCTGTGTGTCCGTTTGTTCCCGGTTCCGCGACCCTAGCAAAGTCCCCAGTAAACCAAAACTTCTCAAATTTTCACACATGACCCGAAATAGCAGCGTGATGATGCCCGTCTATTTTACGTTTCAAAATTTTGAGTTTGACGTCTTCTGTCCTGGATCCGGGTGACCTGGATCCGGGTGACCTGAATCCGGGTGACCTGGGTCCTGGGTCCTGGGTCCTAGAATGTAAGATTCTGCGGAAGATTCAACCTTGACCAGAACTATCGCTTCAAGAACTCTGGCCTTCTGGATATCCACAATACACGGAAACATGATGCATTGTCCGGGAATCGAACCCATTGATCTTACCATATATTTTTGAAATCATTATTTTTATAATAAATAAATGTAACATTTGCTGCATATTTTCATGTTTTTTCGATGGGAAATCAAACATTAAGAGAAGCTGCCGAATTAGGAAATTCTAAATTTTCAAATTTCCGAATGAAAAAATTTTCCTTGAAAAAGTGATAAAACGGAACAAAAATCAAGCTCCTGGAAAATAGAACGACAGTGTATAACTAAAGATTATATGACACACGTTTGTTTGAAAGGTTTTGAAAAATTGAATTTTTCTACAGTAAATTCTGTGTCTTTGACGTTTATAGTCTTTTAGAAACTTTGATAGGAAAGTTTCAAACAAGTGGGAGCATTAGAAGTGCCCTGAAATAGAGCACAATGAGTAATTTGCGGTTTCCCCACCCAATCGTTAAAACTGTTTGGGAAGCATCAACCCAGTCTGCACCCATTACATCGATTTTCTATAAACTTTCTCTGAAACTGAACAACGTTATCAGGGTGTGGTCAGTCGGAGACGAGTCAAGCCTAACGATGGTGACATCACATTTTCTCTTATCGCACAAAATGCATTTATTTTATTTGCGGAGAACTTTCCAAAAAAATGATACAGCCGTTTAATATAAAATCGAATAGTCTGTACACCAATTTCAGTTCAAGAATCATGTTTTCTGTTCTCTTATTCTTAACAAATCTTATTGTTTTATCCACTGCTGATGGATATACTTGTGCTGGATATCTTATTAATCCACCAGAAGACCTGACGTATTACTTTCCGGAAGATTGGAGAGAAGACATGGTGCCAGCAAAATATGCAGGATCACAAACGTGTAATTGGCAGATCAATGTTCTCGAAGGGTACTATGCAACAGTTACGTTCTACAAAAACACTGACATGGAATCAGGAATCACTTGTACATATCCAAATGGACAGGAGCAATAGTGAGTAGCCGTGATGCCAGCTATTTATAATGGTTCAATTTTCAGTATTGAAGACAAGGAGCACAATCCATACATCTTCACTTATCCACAATTTCAAGTCAATCTTCATGTTTCTGACAAACAAGGAGAATTTTCATTCAAAGTTGTTTGGTCAAAGTGTGAGTTAAATATGATGAAACTGATGGAAATTTTCCGTTTTCAGATCCAGCAACATGCAAGATGAATATGGAGCTAACTGATGCTGGAGCTTTGTCAGCTGTTCCCAATGAATGCGTGAATACTTACACGTCTCCAAACAAAGTTATGCTCATCGGATTTACTCTCAAGGATGACTTAGATGTGCTTCTCCGCCAATCAGCAGTTTTTGAGGGTGACTCAGTAAACGGAGAGTATCTTGGTAATTTGTACTATGCGAGATACCGGCAAATTGTTTCACCAAGTAACAAACTGACAGTTTATACTTGGTGGTTGAATCAAAATATCAATTACACACTTTTCATGGGAATGGACACAAGAGGTTAGAATTTTGAGTAGCTTCAAATATAATAATGACTCTATTTCAGCTGTTGGAGATGTTCAACAAATCACTGGACTGAACTGCCCATCTGATCCAATTAATAAGTGCTATATCACTTTGAATTCGAACTACAACATTTCTGCAATTGCGACAATTGGAAGACAACCGGATTTCCTAGAACCCATCATGCAATTTCCAAGTGTAAGAGTAAAATTCTTTTTGAATCCGAAATTTTTGAAAAAAGATTTTTTTAGGAATCTACCTTGAAAATATACGAAGAACAAATCAATGACAATCACCTTGTGGCCAAAATTGAGTAAGTTTGTTTCAATAACGCTTGCTGTTAACTCCAGAAATTTTCAGTAAGTCCAATTACCAGACTCGATTCCCAATGGCAGTGAAAAACTCATTGAAGATCTATCATTTGGACAAGGGAAGAGTTTCGATTCCACTCACTAATAGTGAAAATGAAGGTGTGGTTTCTCTCAATTTCCAAAGGTAATCATATAATTTTTCAGCGAAATACGATACTGTTTACGATGGAAGATATGTGAATGTCCACTCCTTTGATTATGGAAGAACTAGTTATCAGCAGGACACTTCACAAACTTTTCAGACCCAACCAAACAAGAAATTGTACTTCCAATTCAATGTCAAATATTTTGATATAAATGGAAACACCACTCTTGACATCAAAGTATCCAGAGATGGAAAATTAGTCTACTCTGACACGTAATGACCTGTTTTCAAAACAAAAACATATAAATCCCATGTTTCAGCTTCTCGCAAACCAATTTGCCTCCAGCAAACACTTTGAAAGTTTTTGGAGATCAAATGGCGATCAATTACCAAACCTATGGAAACTACACGATGGGATTCGAAGTGGATCTTCTCACAACTAAAAACGGTTAGAATCTGCTGCTAATGCTTCTCAAATAAACTTTTGTATTTGCTCAGACGATGATAGTTCTTCACCTACCACACCCAGTCCGTCTGTCACGTCAAGCACCATTGTCACTCCAGCTAAAACTGTCACTTTGTCAACTAGTTCACCACCTGCAAATCCCAAAACAACAGTCACATCTAACACTTTGGAACTTTCCACTCTCACAGATATTCCAACAACCGGATCAACGACGCCTGGAGGGATAACAAGAGGAACAACGCAAAGATACGAGACATCCACGAAGAGTGGAACCACTCAATTTACGTTTGTATCCGTTCTTCTTATTATTATTTCTTCTGTTTTGTAAGAAATATTTTTTATGATTCTCCAAAAATAACAATACTTGTTCGCTGATTTTAATGCATAAAGAATTCGTTTGATATTACTTTTCGTTTTGGCTCAAAATATTTTGCATTGAGACAAAATCAGCAAACTGTTGCGACCATGGCATCCATAAATGCTAGAGTTTTCTAGGCCATTTGCTAGTCCATACGTGCACGTACTCCATTACCAGCCAAGTGATACTTTTGCAGGAAATCCTATGCGCCTTTAAGTTTGAGCTCGTAATTTGCTTCAACGTTAAAGGCGCAAAAATCAATGCAAAATATACAACGTTAGCGTTGGTCTCTACCCGAAAGCTTCAAATTAAACTGTTCAGTCTTGAGATTTTGTACCTGCATTCCACAGGAAAATGCTCAGAAAAAAATTATTTTCAAAAACGTTCTGGAAAAAATCATCGTACGATCTGACTCCGTGCAGAATCCAATCGATTGTATTTTGTGCTGATTGTGTTTGAACTAATAAAATGGTTTCTTGAAATTGTTGATTCCTTATTTCTCTTCAGAAAATCATTTCCTAATGTCATTCTCCGAGTGCAATTTCCCTTATCTGTTTCCGAGACTTTACGGCGGCGCCCATCCCTTTACCTATAAAAACTGAAACATCACTTTGAAACTTAATTGCCTCTCCTCAAAATGAATATTCTAATTTTCCTTTCTTTCATTGGATACGTGCTTTCCAGTGGATACCAGTGTCGAGGTCCCAATAAAATCACTCCACCAGATGATTTGAATCAAGTTGTCAATTGGCCCAGTATTTGGAATGATAGTATGCCTCCGATTCCATTTGCATCTCAACAATCTTGTATTTGGGAAATCGTGGTCCCAGAAGGATTGTATGCTACGGTAGTCTTTCATAAAAATTCTCCATCTACAGTCTCTATTGCTGCTTTCTACCCGGGGAAAGGCACAGGAGCAGGGTAATCCGATAAAGTGGCTAGTAAGAAGTCAGTGTTCAATTTTTAAGAATCGATAACAATGACCTAAATCCATACATCTTCACATCTCCTCAAGCGACTATAAACTTGTATAAATCGAAAGACGAAGGAGCGTTCTCGTTCAAGGTTTTGTGGTCAAAATGTGAGTTTTCGTCTAGATTGATTTTGTAATTTTCAAATTTCCAGACCCAACGGTACCTCACGATAACATCCAGTTAGTAAAGGGAGCCATGCCAACTGCAATAATTCCAAACGGACATTTGTCAACCTTCACAGCTGAAACTATAGTATCCCTTGTTGGGTTTGGATTGAAAAATCAATCCGAATATCCATTACTCCGTCAATCTGCTGTTTACGATGGCAACTCAACGGATGCTGAATTCCTTGGAACTCTCTACAGCATCATGATGTCTAAAAAGGAAGTGATAAGTAGTGGGAAGTCACTGACTGTGTTTACATGGGGTCTGAACAATCAGTTCGACTACACTCTATACATGGTGCAAGATCATACAAGTGAGTGAGCAGAATGTGAATTATGAACTTATGCATTTCTTATCTATTTCAGACGAACTTCCATTTTTCACGTACAGAGGAGTCAACTGCGCAGACGGATTCGATTGCAGCTTTCAGATTAATGCTGTTTATGGAACTTCCGTTCTTGCGACTTCGGATAGTCATTCGGAGTTTATCAAGAACATTGAAACATTTCCAGATGTAGTTATCAAATTGATTGTTAACAAGTGAAAAATTGTTTTTCAGACCGGAACTTTGAAGGTTTATGAAGGTCCGATTAGCGATGAAACTTTGGTTACAAAGTTAACGTAAGTGCTAGAAATTCCAGACAATTCAGGGAATCAACATTTAGAAAATCCAACTACAAAACTCGTCTACCAATGGAATTGAAAAATTCATTGAGACAATACGTTTTGGATACTGGAACAATCACCGGATTCATTATTACTCGTGATTCAAACAGCGGTAAATAATTGACTTCAAACTGAATGAAACATGATTTCTTTAGCTGATTGGAATAAAGTTTATGATGGAAGAAAGGGTTTTGTTCATTCATTCTATCACGGAGTCTACAGTACTCAACAAGATACAGATGAGACTATGTTCACACAACCAAAACAAAAGTTGTACTTCAATTACGTTGTAAGGGATGCTGATTTTACTGGGGCTCAGACATCGTTAACTGTAACTGTTATGAGTGATGGCAAACAAATTATTTCTGATACGTAAGATTCAACTATAAAAAAGCGGATTTATATTCATTTTTTCAGTTTTAATTCGGGAAATCCTCCTCCGATTACAACAAAAAATGTTCAAGGAGACACGTATCATGTGAAATATGAATCACGTGGAGCGAATACAAAAGGATTCAGAATAGATTTCTCAACGACGTCGTCTAGTATGTTTTTTTTTTCAATTTTCTAGCTCATTTTGTACTTTAAGCATATGAAAAATCTACATCAATTCCTCCTATATCTTCAATGTCCACAACTGGGAAGAAAGGGTCAACTACTATAGTAGCTACTACAAATTCTGTGCCTGGGACTCAATCGTTTTCAACTTCGTCCACATTTTTTTCAACTTTGACAACTTTGAAGAATTCAATCGCAACGTCGTCGAAAGTAGTAGAGACAACATCTCAAATAATTAAAACAACTCCCACAATCATTGAAACTACAACAAAATCTGTTTCTCTGGTGACATGTTACTTTGCATTTATTATCTCTGTTATGTTTTTTAGTTTGAAACTTTAAATTGAGCTTCTCGCAGTCAAAATTCTGTTAAAGGTCAAGTATTGTTTGAAATTGTACTATTTGCTTTCATAATCGTGGAAATACCACATTCGGGTCTTATTGAAATTTCTGAAAATTATTGGAATATGATTGTTTGGAAACTTTTCTTCTTTCGAACATTTGTTCCTTTGTTTTACAAAAACAGCTTATGGCTTCATTTGAATGTATTTTCCTAACTTTTGATCCAAAAAAAAAAAACAAAATTTCAGTGCAGACTCTAGTCAAAAAGTGTACAAATGATATCACTGATATCGTTGAAAATATGAGTGTAACGGACACTCTGACACCTAGAACGCACTATAAAATACTTTTGAAATTCTGAAACCTCGATTTAATACTTCTTATCAACTGAATTCTCACCTACACGTACACACACACCCACAAATGCTTCTTCTTTTTCTGTTTACTTTTCTGACCTTGTTCCATTGCATTTCAACTACAGTAAGATCTTCATCAGAAGAATATTGAATCCTTCGAAATATTCAGAATGCGATGGAAACCATGTGATTGACCCACCAGCAGATATAAACACAGCTTGGTAGTATCCAGATGGATGGACTGAAACACAAGATCCTCTTCCGTATGCTCAGAATCAGACTTGTCTATGGAAGGTTCGAAAGCAAATTTAATTTTAATTTATAGTTTTTATCATTCTGAAGATTAATGTTCCAAAGGGAATGTATGCATTTTTGACACTAACTGGGGAAACAAACATTACGACTCTGACTGTAACGGATTCAGTTGGAAACCAAGATTGGTGAGGGGTTTTCAGATAAGAATCCTTGAACATGATAGTTTTAGGGTCAATGCATATTTCAAACAGGAGCCATATTTCTTGCTAAACCCTCAATTTATGGTCTATTTACAAAGCAATAATGGAACGGGAACGTTCGGAATGAAAGTCATTTGGAAAAAGAGTAAGTAGTTTTTCATCAAAGTTGTCTTTCCAAACAAAGAAACCCTCGAAAAGAAAGTTTTCTTTCAGTTGGAGCATTCAATCCATCCTTCGAAAAAGTTCTTCCTGATACCGTACCCATTGTAAAATCTTCGGGTAATTGTGACAACGGACTTGTCATTGACTCGAACTCCGCCGTTTCCTTGGTTTCTGTAAGGCCTCCTCCAACTGATCAGTTGACAAATGCGGAAATAAATCTTCAAATGAGAAATACTGTTGTTTTTGATGGTCCGACTATAGATGATAAGTTGATTGGAAAGTAAGAATCAGAATTGATATCTGAAAATCTGTTCAATCGTTTCAGCTTATGGCAAATAGAGCAAAAGGATAATCAAGTTGTGTCCAGTGGAAAGTACTTGACACTATATTCGTTAAGACCCAATATCAAAACAGACAGTTATGCTTTAATTCAAGATTTCCAAAGTGAGCGTATTGGCTCTTGGGCCAAGTCAAAAGGGGGGGGGCCATAGGTAAAAATGTGGACTAAGTTAAGGTTTACCAATTTTTTCTAGTTTTGTGACCGTTTCCATTAAAATTTCGAACTTTGAACACTTTTCATAATTTTGTGAAAATTTCAGTTTATGTCATTTTTTGCATATTTTTTGTCTATTTTTTTGTTACTAAGCCTGGAAAAATCTGAAACTAGCTGAATAACTTCAAATTACCAGTTACAATGGAAAAAAATAGTGTTGTTCATACAAAAAAACCGGCCTAAACTGAAATTTTTTAAAGTGACAAATTTTTGTGGAAACAAGCGCAAAGTACGAAATTTTTATAAAAACATTCGAAAAACTAGAAAAATTGGTAAATCTTAACTTAGTCCACATTTTTACCTATGGCCCCCCCCCTTTTGAATTGGGCCCCCCTATTCTCATGCCCCCCCCCCCCTTTTCGCTTGGGCTGTCATTTTCCACTGTATTTCAGATGTCAAGCAGTTTACCGTGTACAAAGGAGTTTCCTGTTTTAATCAAGATCTTTGTGCGGTTATTATTGATGCCAGAGTCGGACTAGGTGCAGCTGTCCGAATGTCACCCGAACCACATTTCTTGAAAAATCTGTATATGACTGAAGATTCCAAAATGACCGTTTATACTGGAACCATTTCTCCAGATCATCAAGTGGCTCAGTATACGTTAGTTTTTAGTTGTCGAAGAAATTAAGAGATCAATTAATTTCAGAAAACCGCAATACTCCAATGTAGATCAGAAATTTCACGGTGTTTTCACTACATATACATTGGATCAGAATATTGCAATTGCATATTTATCCAGTGACCGATTGGATACAAATTGGACAAGTATCACAGACGGAAGAACTGGAATATTTGCATCAAAAAATTATGGAGTTGTTTCTAAAGATCAAAACATTCAAGAGGCATTTAGCGGAGCATCAACGGATATTTTTGAAATGACCCTAAATACGAAAAGCTCAGGTTTGACGGACCGTGCAACATTGACAGTAACTGTTACTTCTGGAGGAAAATCTGTTTTTGATGAAAAGTAAGAAATATGTTGTAAAACCTGTATTAGAATGACCTCTTCAATGGAAGGTCCCCTGAAAGACCTCACGACAGGGGCTTAAAACTTACTGATTGAAAACTTTCGTAAGTTTTCAGTTTTAAAAACTCGGAATATCCACAAAATCACAGAATATTTTAAAAACCCTTTTTATTGCTCAAACACTTGCTTCGTTTGATAGATTTCATGAATTTTGGAAGTAAAAATTTTTTTGAAGCACCGAATTTTCAGATGAAAAATTTTGGAAATGTTGCCCAGAAAAATAAAAGGGACCACCGTAATTGTAATAGATGGACCCCCAGAGATACATTGCAACTATAAGGGATTTCTATTCAGGTTTTACGGTCTATTCAGGTTTTACGGTAAATTGACTGGGGCAATTATGACTTCATCAATTTAGATACACATCACAACGATTCCCGCCTGCAACTATTACCGCAAATGGAAATGGTTTGATTGTAAAATACGACACAAATGGATCAGAAACAACTGGGATGTTGATGGATTTCAGTTTCAAATTGGAAATGAGTGGAGGTACAACCATTTCTCCATATACCCCAAGTACCAAAAATCCAACTCCAGAGACAACTACAAAATATGGTTCTAGATGTTTCTCGATAATTGTGTTACTTTCTTCTATTTTCATGACATTTATTTTTGAATGAATCATATTTCTCATTATTCTGAATCACTTTGAAAGAAACAAGCAGGCGTTGTGGTTTCTCGATCCTTGAATAATCATGACGTGCCTGTGCAAACAAAAAAGATTTTCGCAGAGGCTGATAATGGTATTCTATAAAAAACTTGGTCGTAGTCAGGAAATAGAGACGGTTTTCATTTCTTTTCACTCCTTATCATTTTGTGGCTGTATCATACTTTCAGACAACCATTCGCATTCTTGTTTGTCTCCTGAAACATTATTTTTTAAGTGCAAAACCTGCACATGTTTCTTAAAATATCAATTTTGGCTGCGCTGATTTCTGAATTTTTAGCAGTTGATCCATACAGTTAGTTTACTAGAATATTTTTTTAATAATTTTACGTTTTCTTTCAGGTTGTGCTGATACTCAAACTATCAATCCGCCAGCCAATATTAGTAATTCAATCTCCTATCCGAGCAATTGGCAAACTTCAAATGATGCTCCTCAATACGCAGCTAATCAAAACTGTACATTTACTGTAAGTATTTCAAAGTAAACCGCTTCATGACCTTGAACAATAATTTTCAGGTGAATATACCCAAAGGAATGTTTGTATTCCTCCAAATGAAAGCAACCACAGATCCCAGTTCAGTACTCATCATGACTGATTCAGCCGGTTATCAAAATATGTGAGTCACATAGAACCACAGCTCCCCGATAAACCTCTAAATTTAGAATCAAACTGACTTCTCTAGAACCCTACTTCTTGATGGATCCCTCTTTCACAGTTTCTCTTCAATCTGTTAAATCTGGTACTTTCGCCATGAGTATGACATGGCATAATGGTAAATTGTTACGAATAAACATCCCGGTAGAAGGATTCCATTTCGGTCGGTCGAAAATCGGCTGTAGACAAACCACCGACCCAGCCAACCGACCGCTGAACGAGCTGACCGTATTCGTGCATTTGCGTGGCTGCATTGAAGTTGAAAAAAACCGAAAAGTTAGGCGTGCGTCGTAAGATAAAACTGGCGTACGAGAAGATCGGCTGGATCGGCGGTCGGTCGGTCGAACCAAATTTCCCGACTGAATAGAAGCTTTATTCATGTACAATATTTTTCAGTGAATCCAACGTTTCCAACAACTTATAAAGTCCATCCGAATTCTACTCCTCTTTATCTCACTGGCGGAGATTTTGACAACTCTACAGTAATCGAGTCTGAGACCAAAGTCAATCTTCTTGCTCTTATTCCTACTTTGATTATCACTGATGTAACTCCTTATCTGCGTAACACTCAAGTATACGATGGCCCGTCTACCAACTCAAAGCATGTTGGAAAGTAAGAAAATAATAATTTAAAAAAGAAGACAAAACCGTTTTTTCAGTCTCTATCAAGTTGTGGCTAATGGAAACAGATTTGTCTCTTCGGGGAAGTATTTGACTCTTTGGTCGCTGGTTCCTGGATTTTCTAATATAGGAAATTCTGTCATCATTCAGGATTACTTTGGTTTGTATAGGAATTCCTTGAATCAAAATACAAGCAAAAATTTTTTCAGATGTCAAAGACTTCGAAACCTACAAACCAATTAATTGCATTTCTGATCCGTGTAAAGTAGAAATTGATGCTAGTACTGGAACTGCTGCAGCCATTCGATACAATCCGGCTTACTTCTTTGTCAAGGATATTTCGATGCCTGAAACCAACAAACTTTCAGTTTATACGGACTTTGTCACTCCTGCACACAAACTCGCTGATTACACGTAACAGCTGATTTTGGGATATTTCAAATATATTCCATTTTTAGATCATCGATCTCCAAGTCCAATACACCTCAAAAGTTTTTCGGTAGATTTAATACATTCGTTTTGAACCAGGATCAAGCTTTTATTACTCTGTCTTTTGATCCTGAAAAAGGTTTTTCTATTTGAATTTATATTTTGTCCACTAGCAATTTCTTTAGCCGGATGGGCAACTGCAGTCGACAGCCGTCGGGGATTCTTCATGTCTCCAAACTACGCATTGAACAGTTCTGATCAAAATATCAATGACACAGTCTCTGGTTTTTCTTCCACTTCCAATATCAGTTATACTGTAGACAGATCTGCAATTTCCGGAGCAGCAACCCTGAATGTTTTGATAACATCCAAACAGAAAGTTGTAGTTAACAATACGTGAGTTTCTGAAAATAGTTCAGTATTTGATAACGGTTAGATTGCAGTTTCTCTACAACAAACTTCCCCGGAGGAACTGAATGGACAGTTGGAGACACGATTTCTGTGATCTACAATTCGAACGGAGTATCCACAACAGGAGCATTCGTTAGTTTTGGATTTGACCATTACAATTCAGGAACTACGAATGGTGAATTTAAAATTTTCAAGACGAATTATGAAATCGTTATTTTCAGGAGTACTTGTTTCGATGGCTCTAGCTTTTTGGATGATGTTTTCTTTTTAGAAAACTCGCATAATTGAACACTCAAAACACATGGTGCCTCGTTTTCCATTTTGTTCCGATTGAAACGTTGTCTTTTTTTCACAATAAAACTTTATTCGTTTGTAAAAATCTGCGCTTATCTTCATATTTTTGGCTGATGTGTTTATATACATAGGATAAAGAAATGAACACCTTCATGGAGAAATCGAGTAATGTAATATTCAGTAATTTGGATTTGATTATCTCTATATACTTCTGAAACTGTAATAATGAATATAAAGATTAAAAGTTTAAAGATTTCGATTAGAGTTATAAGTATAGTCTAACATGGTAGAGTGATTGGGCAATAGGATTAATATGGTAAAGTAATCGGAACCTTTCTGTTACAGGTTTTCATTTTTTATAACACATGCCGACATGGCGTTAATAGTTTTCTGAAAAAAGTGTTCCAGGAACTGACCGATAATCATACTTTTTATCATTTTTGGAGAAATTCAAAAAGTGATGACATACGTTTCGCAAACTTGAGCAATGAGTTTCAAATAAGCTTCTCTATTTCATGAGTTATCATCTAATCTGGTTCTTATAGCAGATAAAAATGTTGTAGGCACCATCGTCTGCACAAAATTTCATAACTGGAGACGGATTAATCTATTTCCTCATGAGAGTTGCATCATTCAAATGAAATACAGTCGGTCATTAAGCTTTCGTCAATTTTGACCATTTTCAGGATTCTAGAGCTCGGCTGTCATGTTTCCTCTCATTTTGAAACTTTTGGAAGATGTGAAGCAGATCTAGATTCACAGAATATTTTTTAAAGTCCTAGTTTTCAACTGTATGCCAGTTTCTGAAAGACACCCTTTTTGGTCCGGTTTTGTACTGAAAACGTTTAAAAACAGATGTCCTCAGAAATCGGAAAATAGTGGAAAAACTAAAAACTTTCAAAAAAAGTCTGTGAATGCTAAGTTTTCAATCTAGGTATGTTTTACTCTCCAACATTTTCAAAGTGATCGGAAAGTTGACAGTCGAGCTCCAGACCCCTGAAAATGATCAAAATGGCCGAAAATCAACTCAAAAATGTGTTTTTGTATATCTCATTGGTAGGTGCGGTACATGTTTCCCTACAACTCTTCCAGCAATTTCAAAAGGAACTACAATAAAAATTTCAGAAATTCCAATGATATTTCTGATAACTGGCGGATGCTAATCAAAATGTTAACACCTTTGCGGACACGCTGATTCATTTCGTCATTTATTTCTTCCCATCTCATTAAATTTCGTACTCAAATTTCAGATAGCGAATGGGAAAAATAAATGCTAAACTAATAAAGAAATGGTAATACTTAAAATACAAAATAGTTTTGAATAAATTGGAATCGTCTACAAGAAGCATCCGTTTCTTATCAGCCGCTCCCTTTTTTCGTCAGAACATTCCAGAATTTACCTAACAGTACGATCACAATAGCTCACATCTCGCGATATCATAGATGTTCTGAGGAAGTTGAGCCCAACGTTCGAGAAACTGTCTGTTTGTGCAGCCAGTTCCAATCCACACCGGTCACTGATTTCAAAATGCAAAAAAAGTGAGCGACCTCCTCCTTTCGTTTGTTTAGAGCATCTATATAAGCATTCGTTTAACTGATAAACTCATACAGTTTTCGTGTCTCATTCCTTCTGATCATGCATCTTCAACTTCTCATTACTTCCTTCTTTTGTTCAATTGTTTCTGTTGCTTCTAGCGTTGTTACATGCAACTATGGAGATACAGAATACGATGGATAGTGAGTTCTTCTGAATCTCAGAAAGAAACAGAGAGTCTTTTAAATTTAGTTGCTACACATTCGTAGATCAACGTCTACAGTTCCCGGATGCTCAGGCATACTGTGCCTCACATGGAGGAGTCGTCGTGAGATTCAGGGGCGACGCTGATGGACGTTGGTTGGCTTGTAAGTTTGAGTTGGACACTTCTGGGAGTCCTACAAATCTTCAGAGCTAGTTATGAATTTCCCTATAGTCATATCTGGTAATTACAGTTCTGCGATCCCCATTTTGTTCCCAAATCGGTTTTCCGTAGCACAGTGCCGGTATACAAAAACATATTTGTCAGTTGATTTTTGGACATTTTCAGGACTCTGGAGCTCGCCTGTGAAGTTTCTGATCACTTTGAAGACCTTAGAGGTTGTGAAACAGATATAGGTTGAAAACTTTGCATTTAAAGAATTTTTGAAAATTCCTAGTTTTCCAGCTATTTACCGAATTCTCAAAGACGCGCTTTTTAGCCTGTTTTTGTACTGAAAACGTTAAAAAACAGGTGTTTTTCAGAAATCAGCAAATGGCTGGAACACTAGGTGTTTTCAAAAAATGCTGTGAATACAAAGCTTTCAAACTAGGTCTGTTTTACACCCTCCAAATTTTTCGAAATGATCGAAAATCTGACAGTTGAGCTCCAGACTCCTGAAAATAGTTCAAATGGCAAAAAATCCACTGAAAAATACGTTTTTAAAAAATATTTTATTAAATGGTACTGTAACTTCAACTATAATATAGCATTAACTTTCTCATAAAAATGTTTACGATGAGCAAATTTCTCAATAATTATTTCACACGTGATATTTCAAAACTTCTGCTAACTTCTTATCTAACCGACGCCTTTTTTGAAATTCCAGTTTCGTATAGTAGAGTAAGACACAATTACAAAGTGGTGATTTATTCGCAGACACAATATTAAGAACAGATTACAAGAGTTATGATCACAAACTGTTTCAACACTAAATACATCTGTTACTTATTAGAAAAAATGGACGAAATTTCGAAATATTCTGAAAAATTCATATATCGTATACAGTATAACTCCTTATTTTCCAGCCACCGCTGCTACAAAATTCCATGCAACCTATGGAAACTTCTGGATTGGTCTTCACCTTGAAGACGATCAATGGGTATGGGATGATGGTCATAAAGTGGATTATCTCAATTGGGGACCTGGATATCCTTACAGTGGATACGACTATGTTGGAGCTCAATTATCCAACACAAAATGGGTTTCTGTGCAATCATCTGCTTCTCTTCCGTTCATTTGTTATTATCAAAAAGGACACAACAGAAATCAAGCGACCACTCCAGTGCCGAGTGGTGAGTTTTGATTTGTTAATGATGAATTTTCGATTTTCGAATTTCAGAAAATCCAGTCAATGTTTGCAATGGTGCTGAACTGCTTCTCGGTCACAGGTAAACACACCCACGGCTTCTTATCAGTTACAAAATTATGTCAGATGTTACTTCTTCAACCCAACTCTTCTTCCATACGATTTGGCTAAACAAGAATGCGAAAAGGCTGGAAAGACACTGGCCGTTTTCGACAATCAGTCTCAAATCAATTTCGTTACTTGTGGGTGTCTATTTCGTTTTGTTCCTTTAATCCTATTAACTGTTCAGCTACCGCAATCAGCAAGTTTTCAATGACATACGGCTCGTTCTGGATTGGTCTCACCAAGAATTCCTCTGATAACAAGTTTTATTGGGCTGATGGAGACATGAACCAACTCAATAACTGGTCACCTGGATACCCATTCCAACATCAGACAATTGCTTCTCAGCAAGTATCAAACAGCAAATGGAAGACCTCGGATACAAGCTCTTATCTCCCTTCTGTTTGCAGCGGATATGCTTCATAATTGTTTGGTTTTTTTACTATTCTATTATAGATAAACAGTTACATAAAAATATAATTTATCTTTCAGTAAACCAGCAAATCAGTTATGCGTTGTTGTTCATTATTTAAAAATCCACAGAACAAACAACTCCTTCGTTCGGAGCTGTGTGGGTGTATGTGACCCAGAAACCTTGTGATGACGTCTGAATAATACAACTGGATGATTGTGACCTGTATTATAAACAATTACCTGTGCAATATAATCACCAGTCTTTGGGAACATATTTCCAAAGTTTAGATAATCAGTTGCCGATCCATCAAACCATTGCCATTTTCCTCCGAGAGTTTTAAGATCGGTGTTACGAAGTCCGATTGTGGCATATCGGGTGTCATTGAAACGGTCATAGATCAGAGCTGAAACTTGGGTTTTTTTCGTCAGAAATAAACAAATTAGTCGTTCAAAAAACGGGCGATTGGAGAGCAAATCTGACAGTTGCGAGTGGTCAGCTGTTCCATCACAGGTAAGTAAGGAGGGGTTGCCGATCAAAATATGGAAAAATCATTATTATGATTTTATTGTTTTTTTTTAAATTTCTTTCTTATAACATTTTACAAAGAAACCTAGTTTTTGCATTATGGTCCGTAGATTAAAGTTTGCCTTTCATACCTCTTTTTACAATTTACTGGAATTTTACAATTCACTTTTCCCCATTTACTGGATGACGCAAGTTGTAGCCAATTCTTAGATCTTCAGCCGCCATTGGTACGCTTTTCGGCAACCCCGTCTTACAAGTAATTAATAACATTTTGAAGGTCAGGGGACATGAAAAAAATAACTATCCCGAAATTTTGTTCATATAAGCCTCTTGAGGAGTTGAACTTGTATTGAAGATGAGTATTGAAGATGCGGCGCCGCTACAGACTGAACTACGCAGGCGAAGCTAGACTTCCCGTCTGGTCTCATACATAGAAGTGTGCATGATAGATGTCCGCAGATGAACACTAAACACTGTACACCGTTTATACGTCAAATAGCATACAGTAACTATCAAAAATCTCCAAAAAGTCTCCTGGCCCCCCTCTTTCGAAGCAGTTTCGTTTTTCAGACACTTTACTTTTCAGGTTTTTTTGCTCATGTTTCTTTTCATCAGTTGTCATAAATTTTAAATTTAATAACTCACATCTAAAAAGATCATTCAAATCTGATGAGTGAACCGTGGCAATAGTGGCTCCGTATTTGGCACATCTTTGATTTTCTCTGGTCAAGAATGGAGCATCATCCTGAAAATATAGTTTTCAAATCTATCTATGTCAATCTCCTCACTAACCGGTACATCTGGAAAATCCGAATCATTTCCGTAGACAAGCTGAAAGATGTCAATTAGTGTCTAAAGGTTTTTGCTCTTATCATTTTTTATCACTCCGCCACCAAAAGGAAACTCTGCACATCTGACCTATCAAAAATCACGATCAAAACCTACCACAATATAGCACTTTTGTGTAGCTTCGAACAGAGTGAATCCACGAGGACACGCTTTTGGTGTAGTCGTTGGAGGAATAGTAGTGGTTGTGGTAACCGTAGTAGGCTTACGAGTAGTCACTGTGGTAACTGTAGTTGGTGTAGTTTTTTTGACTGTAGTGGTTGTTGGAACTCGAGTGGTTGTCACTGTTGTAGTTGGAGCAAGTGTAGTTGTCGCTAATGGATCATAAGAACATACAAATTCGAGTTCGATGTGCTGAGCATGTGTTTGCCACCTTCCGTTTCTCACATTTTCAGCTACATAGTCTTTTGTGTTTGGGAATCCGGCTTCAAAGTTTGTGTAAGCTACACTCGTACCATCGTCCCAGAAGAACAAAGTGTAATCTTTCTTTCTTGATAACCCAATCCAGAATTGGCCATTGTTTGACCCGAATTCGGTACCGGCGGATGCTAAAATATAAAACATATTCTGGAAGTTTGAAATGATCGAATTTTACAAGCTAAGAAATTAGCAGTAATTGCGGAATCAACAGTTGCTAACTTGTATCCATGACTGTGACAGTACTCTTCAGCAGCTGCATATGGATGGCGCTTTGAGACAAAGGAGTAACATCTGAAAATTGGTATAATGAAAAGAAAAAATTATCAATGAAAGACTCACCTGGTTCCAATAAATTTCTCGTGTGGATATCTACAATTAGCTGCTTCTGATAAACCAACGAACCCAAAAACGAAAACGGAAAGAAGCATGAGCATATCGATAAAATAATCTGTTTCGTCGTTTCCTGGTGTGCTGCTTGCGGTTATGCGATAATGTTCGTATGACATTCATTTTATTTTATTTTTAAAGTCTATGTGATAAGAGAGAGAGAGAGAGAGAGATCGATAAGCGAATCTGTGTCTTTTCCGTTTCTGACGCCCAATTCGGAAAGGTCCATGGACGTCATTTTTAGAATGAAAGGTCACATTTAACACAGTTTGTGATTTAAAAATTTAAATCATGATGACATGAAAAACGCCTTTTCTTATCAAAAGTTTCAATCTTAAGTGGGTCATATGAATGAAAAACTTGCACTCCTCCTAGATCAGTTACTAATTATTCTTAAAACGAAAGGTTTTTTCACAAAATGATCTCTACGGTGATTAAGGTCATTTTTTGTTGACAGTGTTGTAAGAATTAAAAATGTCATCTACCGTAAGCCGAAAAAAGCTAGCTCCACCTACGCAGCCGCCGCTTGAGGATTTTGCAACTCTGCGGCGCGCTATTTTTCTCCTATTATTGTATTTAAGCTTTTCTTCTCCGAAAATAACACATTTTTGTCATTTAGCGATTGCTGCTCATAATTTTGCTTGTTACAATCAATTTTTTTCAGTTTTTTCAAATTTACATTTTTAATTCTCAATTTATGAAGTCCTCATGGTATTTCAAACCAATGGGTCGAAAATCGCGCCACAGCGAACGTGAAAAATCACTGCGCAACGTGTCCAATTTTCTCTGGCTGAAGATCAAACTTTTATACGTTGGGCGAAAAAATCGCGAGTTGCAATGCGTTGATTAAAAATATTTAGGTCAAATCAACGTCAACTTTTAAATTATTAAATTTCGCCTGGCCTAAAAGTTATCTGGGGCGCGATTTTCGACCCGTTGGTTTGAAATACCGTGAGTCCTGAAAACTTTTTATATTTTGTTTTTTTCCAATAAAAATAGCTTAAATACACTAAAATGTGAGAAACTGAGAAAGCGCGCCGCAAGGTTACAAATTCCTCTTGCGGCGGTTGCGTGGGCGGAGCGAGCTTTTTTCTGAATACGGTAAAAAATGGAGCTGTGGAAGAGAAAATCTGGTTACCGCTGCCACCGCCTAGTTACCGTAGCTAGCAAATATTTTTTACTACGATGTTTTTCTCGATTTTCGTCCGTTTTCCGACAATTTTTTGGTTCAGATAAATTTAGATTTCCGACGTCTGTGGGGTTTTCACACAAATGTTATGTTGAAACCCTCCAGACAAGAGAAAAAAGGACCGGAAATTTTAGGTTACGGTTTAGTTAGCTCTTTGTTGTGACAGGTTTATTGATTCTTTAACTGGATTGAAATAAGTTGAAAAGAATGGGCTAATTTGAACAAAAAGTAAAAATATAAATGTTTCGATTCTCTAGACACCTTCTGCATTGTTGATGTAGTTTTTAGTCGATTTGTCTCCAACACGATCTTCCAACCAAAACGTGCAACATGATCCTTTTCCTTTGACCTGAACCTCTCCTCTCTTCGTTGTTGAGAATACTGGATGATAGGAACGAATGTGATTGTGAGCGTCTTCACTCATTTGAATCATTCCGGGTGTTCCAGTGGATTCCATTCGAGATGCCACGTTGACAGTATCTCCAAACAAACAAAATCGGGGAGAAGTCAATCCGACGACTCCTGCAGCAACGGATCCTGTGTGGAATCCCCAACGACACCGAACACGTGTACTTGGACGATGGGGAATCTGGTATCCTGTCAAATACTGACGCATATCTAGTGCAGCATTTGCAATGTTTTTAGAATGATCATTTCCATTTTCCTCTGGAATTCCAGATACAACCATGTAAGCATCTCCAATGGTTTCAACTTTGTAACTCTTGTTTCTTGTGATACATTCATCGAACCCAGTGTATAATCCATTAAGCATTGTGACCACTTCTAATGGAGTTGATCCAGAACAGATAGTAGTGAATCCGACGATATCCGAGAAAAGAATCGTGGCAGAAGAGTAGAGTTTCGGTGGGACAGATCTTCCCATTTTCAACTCATTTGCCACGTATGCAGGTAGAAGTTGAGTCAAAAGTTGATCTGCTCGAACATTGGCTTCTTCCAACATTCCAGTTCTCTCGGCTACCAGTTTTTCCAAATTGTTCGCATATTGTTCCATCATTTTCATCATTTGGTCCACCAAACTTCCCTTTCTGAAAATCTCAATACATCACCACTTAAAGTTATTTTCTCAAAATTACGTTTTTAAAACCATTTCAGTGTTCAATCGAACCCTACGAATCGATGGACGAATCTCGGGATTCTCACTCCAACAATCTCTGAGAAGTGCGTTCAAATCCGGATGAAGGCCCATTTGATTTTGAATTTCTGGAGTAACAGTTTTCGATCCATCGGCCAAGTAGGCGATCAGCTCTGTAGTAAACAATTAGATAGATCTTCCACACCAACAACAAACCCGTAACATTGACATTATCTCTGAATGGAAGACTTCTGAATAAAATTTCATACATGACCATTCCAAACGAATAGATATCTCCAGCTTGTCGTCTAGCCATTGACTGTTTCACCCATGTTTGATCCACTCCTCTTCTCTTATTTGTTTCTCTGTTTTTCAGAAGCTCCGGTGCCATGTAGAGAATCGCTGGAAGGTTGAATCATAAACTAATATTTTGAATGTGTATTCTTTACATGTCGTCTGTGCAGCCTCGCTCTTATCATCCGAATCCTTCGCAACATTGATACTAATTGCTCCTTGCTTCTCCCAACGTTCCAAAGGATTAGCAATACCGTAATCCGACAACTTTACCATCCAGTTCCTATCGATAAGACAGCACCAAGGCGTGAGTGATCCATGATATCCAATTGGTGATGCATGGAGATATTCCAAACCCTGAGAACCACCGTTTTCTGAACTTTTAGTTGTACAATTAAAATCTACCCCACAACATTAATAATAAGAGTTTTAATACACCTGAAGCAGAAAATATTTGTATAGGTGCTGGATCATTGCGACGTCACAAATACTAACTCAAATCACTTATCAAAAACTCAACAAAAATATCTTCTCAATTTCTCTCTAATAGAGTAATCAGATGTTGGAACTCTTTACCCACCAAAGTGTTCCCGGCGAAGCCCTCGTCAGCGGCTTTCAAAAATCGACTATTATCCTGTGATCTAAAACATTTTCTTGTCTTGAATTCAACTAATTACTAACTCGGTTTTTCCTCCATCTCCCATTTAATACAAATGTATGTCCCTGTTATATCTCCTAGTTTCATTGACATTTCACGTGTTAGTGGTTTTCTCCCCTTCGTTGAAATAAATAAATTAAATTAAATTAAATTAGCTCAAACTCACTAAAGTGATATCTCTGACAAATGCTCCATGGAATTTTTCGTCCAAAACCACATTCATATTGTAGATGATGTCTTGAATTGTTCCTCTGCTACAAAACTTCCACAGTACCAACATCTCCTCTTTTTCATTGAAAGCAACTCCTAAGAATGGATTCAGATTGTCATGGACCGCCTGTTTCATTTGTGTCAGCAGCTGCATGTCCTCTTTTACAAACTTGATAGGTCTTCTTTGTGGATATTTATGGTAGGTTGAATGTGTATTAACTCCAATAATCGCATGTTGCTTCTGTCCCGTTTGCATATTGCTCAGCTTCGTTGTCACTGATCCAACCGACATCATCGAACGAACTTGTTCTTCATCTATGAATTGCAAATCATCGTGGAAAATTCGCCAGGGCATTTTTTCCAATTGACGGTTTTCACTAAAATGAGAATTTAGAAAAGAATGGGTTTTTTTAGAACCAACCAATAACGGAAAAGGAAAAAGAATGCAACAGAAATGATGAGCAATAAGACTATAAGAGATCCGACGCTGATTTCTAATAAGTAACTGCATCTGCAAACATCAAGATTTGTGTGGATGATGAACTATTTACAAATCTGTCCTACCTCTGTCCTCGATATCCACAAATTGGTTCATCCAACGGCATTGATCCATCTTCACTTGGCCAGAATCCAGATATTATGTCATTGATTCTCTGGAATGGAAAAATAATAAACTATTTTTCAAATTGTAAGTCAAAGCTTACAAGCTGGAAACATCCACTTTTATTCTTCAACCCATCACAATTTCCAATCAATTCACTCCCCATATTGACCATTTTCATCACTTTATCTCTATTGGGTGAAATGAAAAATGCGGAGAAAATTGGAGCTCGATCTGCCACATCATCCATGAGTACTGTACCGATTGCTCCAGCATCTTTGCTCTCTTCTGAACTTGATCGGCTTACAACTCCTGAAATTTAGTTTTGATCATAATTTGATGTTATCTAGAGACCTTCAAAGCTCATTCGTCTCATTCGATTCCAAATATACTGTCCATTGGTCACAAATGCTTCGTTACCAGTTTCATTCAAAACTTTCCGAATGGCCAACGCATACAGTTTCAGAGAGTCAAATAAGTGCAAATAGCCATTGATATTGGTCTAGAAGAAATTGAAATTTATGGTTTTGATTTAAAAATTTTATTACCGTATCAATATCAGCTTTTTGTAATCCATGTTTCTCAATTTTCTCAACAAAAGAACTGACGATGGTGTCATCAAAACCGTTGACATCATCCACAATGATAGCATTTGCATAATGATCTTTAACTCTCTGAAGCATCTCTCCATCTGCTCCAATCCATGGAGTTGTGTCTTTTGTTCCACTTTGGAGCCATGGAATGATATATGCGTATTCTGCATTGTTCATTCCCAATGTATACGTTGCTTGCATGAATTCCTTTGATAATTCTTTTGTAGATGAAAACAAGCAAAGTACAACTGAAAGTAAAGAAAACGACATTTGAAATTTATTGATTCAAAATCACTAACTTCTCGCATTACTAGCCAATTCGCCCAACATTCCAGAGTTCGCCATTTCATTTGCATCCGCATTCTCTTCGAACATTATTTTCTTAACTACCGAAACTCCATCTCTATGCATTATTTCCTCGAAAATTGACACTCTTTCGAATGCTGTAGCTCCTGTATTAGTAGCAATTGCGACCTAAATTGAATGGATAAAATCAAGAACAAGAGGAGAATGCTTCTTCTACCTTATTCCATTTGTAGTGCAAAAGCAATGCAATTGTGGCTTCTGCGATGGAATTTGTGTTTTTGGAGGATACTCTCGCCAAAGTTTTGTACACACTTCGATCTGAAATCGGTCTCTATGCTGTCTAAGAAAATATAATTAAAAAACATAGCATTTCCAATATGGTTCGATTAACATTCTTTGCCTTTCATAATTTTAATTGGAAATGTTCCCCAAATTGCACAAATACGCAATTTATAGTCAATTCTTAAACCTTCAGCCACCGTTTGTTCGCCTTTGCCACCCGCTTTACCCGTGGCAAGATGAGACGGCCGACCAAAAACCCAAACCCTTCATGTCAGAATGCATACTGTAACTCCAAAAAAATCTCAGAAAAATCTCCTTTCTCCTCTCCTTTGAAAAATTTCGAAGCCCAATTGAATAGGTTACCTGACACAGCATTAGGAACACTTGAATACGAGATGATTGGAATATTCCAAAACGTAGCCATCTTTGTCACAGCTTCCAATTCTGAAATCAAACTGAAATAGATAAAGATCAACAAACTGAAAAAAGAAACCTGCTGCACAGTACGGTCCAATAAATGCCCTGACCTGATGTACATGATACAGTTCAGCTGCAACTGCAACTCCCTCAAAACTCTCACTGCAAGCCTCTCTTGACACTATCCTAAACCGCCATACTCGAAGCCTGTTTTTTTCTTTTTTTTCAGTTTGAAACCTACTCAAATTCAATATCATCTCCAACAAGACCCTCTTCAATTAGGCTTTCCTTGCTGATATTCAGAATTTTCGCATCGTTTGGCATCACTCCAACTGCACCAATATGTCCAATTTTGATGACTCTTTTGTGCTCTTTGTTGACTTCCAATTTGGTTCCAGAATCGAATTGAGTATAAGATGACTTCTCTCCATTCTCTTTCAATTCCGGAACCTCTTCAACGGCGTCCAAACGAATAACAGAAAAACCGAAAAATAGTAAGAAAAACGCAGCACGTTTTAGCATGACTGCCGACGACTTCTTTCAAAGACTGATGCTGTCTGAATTGCATCTCAGCCATCGTCGGCTCACAACTTATCCGCTTAGTGACCGTATTCTATTCGTATCCGCGTTTTGCGTCAGAAATCTGAGATTATCTGCGAGATGTGCATTAGTTTGATTAGTTTTCTTGTGTTACGTAGTGGTTCGACGACATCAAAACAAAAATGAATAAGATGTCGTTACGAAATAAGAACAAAGTTTCGGTTTGCAGTCTGGAAAATGAATTCATAAATCAAGGGATGTTTGTTCAATCACATTAGTGCTCTAGATCTTCATCAGATCTTCTTGCCAACAATTCGGGGAAACAAAAGGGTACAAAGTGATTTAGGGGTAGAAAATTCACAATTCGGGGTACTAATTTCAGATTTTGTACTAATTTCAGATTTTGGGGTACTAATTTCAGATTTTCTAATTTTTTGTGCCCTTCGAATTATTTGCTGATCTTTTCGGTCGGAACAAGCAACGAAAGAATCAAAATGTATACTGTAGAAAGAGCCAATGTTGAACCATACAGTAGTGCACTATTATTATTATTACCAGCAAGCTGGTGCGCCTTCGGCGCGATTCAATCTGGTTTTTACTGATTCGTCGCTCTTTTTTCTTAAAATGTTCACGTCAATTTATATTTATTTTCAATTTTTTGACAAAAGTCCACAGACACGAGGACCAACTGAAGCCTCTAGCGTTTTATTAATAAGAAAGATTCTGTTGAAAAAAATCGGTTCTGTGGAAGAGGAAAGATTGTGGGCGTGGCCAATGATCTTCGTAACGAAAACCACCGTAACCTAAACTTTCCAGTTCTTTTTTCTCGGCTACTATTGAACTTTTGAGTTGAAAACCTGTTGGAAATATAATTTTTTCCGAATCGAAAAAAAATGCAGCGGCCGCGGCAATCAGATTTTCCTTTCGACAGCTCCAATTTATGCGTAACGGTATAATATAGGTCATGATAAACTGGTTCGCAAATATGGTTCGCAAATCTGTTTCCTAATTTTCTCAATTCTTTTAACGTTTATGACTGACAAGGATTTTTCTTTCGAATTTATGAAAATTTTTACTGGAATGAACATGGACAATAAACGAGGCAAATGTTCAATTTATTAGGGAATTTATGTTAACAATAAAACCCGGAAACAAGCAGAAAGAAACAGGAAACAATTTCTAGAAAATATGTGATAACTGCGTGCGTATATAATTTCGGAATGACATGGGAATTTGTGATAAAACAATAAAAACATTTGAACTACTATACTCGCAGCAAAGATTAAGCCTTTTCGTCTGTGTTGCCCTTCAATGGCTGCATCTCTGTGTCCTTTGGAGCATCAGTTGGAATGGCTTGATGAGAAGGTCTATAACAGTTTTTGGTTTATTATGTGAATTTTAAATTATTTCCTTACTTGTACGGATACATACTGTAAGCGAAAACTGCAGCAATGACTCCAGAGGCTCCGACAAGGAAAAGAATAGAAGGACGGAAGTTGAACAAAAAGTAGGCAGCGATACAGTTCAGAACGATGGCGAGGGATGTGGCAAATGCTTTCAGAATATTGTCAGCGTACTTTATGACAACAGCGACCACTAGACCGCCGAAAGCGTTGACAGCTACAGTAACCCAAACTGCCCAGTCAAATCCTGTGAGCATGTTGTTCCAAACAGTTGCCGTAGTTATAGGATCCTCTGGTGTATTCTGATACAGTGTCTTTCTGTCAGTGATCTGGAAAAAAGAAAAATACATTAGGGAAAAGATACGCTCAAAATCTCACTGATGCAAAGATAAAAGCAAAGAAGATAGACGGGAAAGCAAGTTGAATGTTTCTGATCCAAATCGAAACGTTCGACCCTTAAAAGATTACAATTATAATAGTCTTGTTGAATAGACTGACCCTTCAGAATCTTCTCGAAATAGATACCAGCAAATCCGGAGAGCACACATGCCACAAGAACAGCTATGAATCCAAGAATTGAGTTTTCGGTTCTGCCTAATTTAGGAAGAAGTGAAGAAGTTGAATTTGAAGTTGAATTTAATAGTGATTCCGTGGTTGGAGCAAGCGTGGTTGGAGCAAGCGTTGTGGAGATGTTTGCAAGAGCATTAGCAGCCATTTTCTCCCGTTCGTTTGACATTTTTTGATCCTGGAATTCAAAAAAAATTGATTCAGAAACTGAGAAATCTGAAGCTCACATATTGAACAACAACGACTCCGGCAAACAAGACTAGAAGAGCAATCCATTGTTGAATGGAAAGACGACGATGGAGAACAAGGACGGTGAATGCAGCAGTCGTAAGAATCTTCAATTGATAAGTCACCATGTATGTGGCAGCAGGAAGATTATCAACAGCCACATAGAGAAGATAGTTCTGAATGGTGTATATCGCAGCTGGAACCAATACCTTCAGTGTGCCCTTCCAGTTGACGAAGAACTCGTGGTAGATGCGTTTGAGACCTTTCACAATGCTTTTCTCCTCCATACATGCTAATATCAGACTGACTGAGAATTTGAAGATCTCTCCAAAGAATACAGTAATCGTCTGGAAATGAGAGAATAAGCAAGTTCCAGGCTCTAGATATCTTACCTTCAAAAAATGTGGTCTATCCTTGGTCATAGCATATCTCATGAATAGAACCAAAGAGCAGTTCTGGAGCACCAGAACTGTTAGTGAGGAATATTTTATAGTATCCGCTTTCGTAGGAGCCATTGTTGACTGAAAACAAGAATATGTTTTTAAAAAGCTGCGGAAGTTGAATGAATGGAAAAAGATTAGTTGAGGATCAATTGAATAGGCTCTGGTACAAAAAAAGTCGGAGCTGTATAACTTATACAGTATAAGAGAAACACCGGAGGTCCCACAACGACAACCACAGTAACCTAAAAAAACAATTTTCGGATCTATTTTCTCAATTTTCGTGCGTTTTCAGTCAATCATCTCACTACTAAAATGTTTCTTTTTCTGGCTTTTTTGGGGATCAATAACAGAAAAAGCTGTGAAAAAAAAATAGAAAATGAATATGGAAAATAAAAATATGTTTAGGTTAAAGTAGTCAAGGGACCTTCAGCCGCGGCCACCGGCGTCTCTCTTCCACATCTCCAATTTTAGTACAAGAATAATACAAGCTACGGAAAAATACAAATCGAATGGTGCAAAATACAACAGCACATCTAACCAGTCTTCTCAATTTTCTCACGCTTTAATAATCTCCGTCTCTTCAACAGTGCACACACTATCATTTTTCTCCTCTCAAAAATACAAAAAGATGCGAAGTGTATATATAATACACGCACACGACACATTCTAATATTATCAAAAATCTATTGTACAAGTTGTACAAATCAAAGCGTCCGGCCGGGAGTGCAACGTGGTAGTTTGTGGGACCAGCTGCGGGAGGGAGAGGCAAAGCGAAAAGGGGAGACGAAGAGAAAAGAGCGAAAGTGCACAGCTGGTCAAGGGAAGGGCATGTGGGGGCCATGGAGTACTCTGATGTTGATGTTGTGTGTGATGTCATTCAATTGGAATAACAAAAAAAGTAGCTAGAACTGGGTTAGACTGTAACTTAAATGATAAGACAATCATCATAGTGAACATGGTGTTTTTATTTGCGTAGGTAGAATTGGAAGAGAAAAAGAAAACCACATCACGAACGAGAAATCACAGGTTCAATAATGATGCAGAGATATCAGTTCGAAAAAAAATTGACAAATGAAAACGTCAGTGTTTAGGAAAATATGCGATGTAACCTCCAAAATACACCTGAATGCGATAGAAGTGAAATAGAAAATATTAATTACATAAATAGAACTATTTGAAAGAAATGCGAAAAAAATGACCCCGAAATTTGAAAACCGATGCAATTGATTTGTGTAAATATGCTTTTTTCTATAAACAGAATGCCTCCTTCGTGGAAGGAATCTCTCCTCGTAATCGACCGAGAGCTGCCACCATTGCTTGATGAGATGAATAGAGGAAGATGGAGAAGATGACAAGTGCAGCGCCAAGCAAAAAGGTTAAGGATGGGATGAAATCGAAAAGGAACATTGATCCAATTGTGGAGAGAACAATGGCAACTGAGGTGGCAAAATTCTTGGCAATGTTGTCAGCGTACTTGATGCAAACTGCGACGGAGAGACCTGCAAAACGAAATGTTTAGCTTGCGACCGGAGATTTCCGATTTTTTGCGGTCGACATTTAGCTGAATCATAATACATCAATTGAGAAAACAAACCTCCGATACCGTACCAAAGTACAGTTAGCCAGACAATCGAATCAAATCCATACAGAAGACCGTATTCGTTTACTGTTTTGGCATCTTGCATATAAATAGCTATGAAAGAAGATGGAATTGCGAAGACAGCCATCTGAACATTTCTCATCCAAAGCGATACTGGAGCAGATCCTTTCAGAATCTTCTCGAAGTAAATTCCAGCGAATCCTGATAAACAACATGCTACTACAACTGCAACAAATCCAATGAAAGGAGATTCTCCGGTAATTTCCTTGGATTTCGTTCCTTGCAACTGAACAAGTGACACTCCAGCGAACAAAACTGCGAGGGCAAACCTGAAAAAATAGAAAGTTATAGGAAAGACGAATAGAAAATAGTGACCATTGTGTCCTATTAAGAGATCTCCGCAGAATGATAACCGTGAATATTGCAGCGGTGAAAATCTTCAGTTGCGATGTAATCTGGAAGAAAAAGCAACGGTTTGGATGAGGCTTCGGCCTACCATGAAAGTTGCTGCATCCAAATGAGAAGCAGCCACATAGAACAGATTATTCTGAACTATATAAATCATGGCTGGTATGCACACCTTCATCGTATCATACGGTTGTTCAATGATTTGAGTTTTGAGAGCATGGATAAACCTGAAAGATGGAGCTCGAAATGAATGATATTTTAGTAAACTTTACCTTCTCGGTGTTTCTTCTTGTGCTACTAAAAACAGGCAAATTACACATTTGATGACTTCCGTTAACCACACAGCTACAGTACTAACAAACATAGCATCCACTTCACGTGCTCGGGAATATCTGGAAAAAGAAATTGTCACAACTCCTAGATTTATGAAGATGAGAGTAAAAGAAATTCGAAAGGCTGCTGTCTTTTTTTCAGTGATTAAGTGCAGTATAGTAAGAATATCTTATTAAGAGGTAGAAAAAAAAGGTCACATTTGGAAAAATTACCTGATTAGCAGCGTATGTATACTGTTCTGTAGTGTGAGCCATATTAAAATCGCAGTTTTCATTCCGCTCCTCGTGTGTGAAGATTCTCTGCCAACTGATACCGACGGCACCTGGAAAACAGAAAATAATTATTCGTAGGGGGGAGTTTGGAAGAAGGGGAATTTGGAATGAAAAGTCTTTTATGTTGATCGTCTGGCTTGAAGGATCTTAGATGGCTATCGTATGAGGGACGACAGCCGACGCGAATTTCGAAGAAAGCCTTGTTCTTTATGTCGAGGTACGCTTTCCAGATCAATGGCAAGTTTTGCGGAATTCCAATACTTTCTAATTGCTATTCCAAATTTTGGATAGGCATTTTGGCAATTTTGAAAGTAAAAATCGGGAATTCGTGTAACAGAATTATCAGAATCTTAACATTAAAACTTACCGGAATTTTAACCGAACTCTCGGGCGTCGTGTGGAGCAGCGGATGAAAATCGTCGCCATTTTTGCCCATCCTACTCCGACCCGTAGGGATCCTGGAAACAAAATTATTAAGGTCTGAGAATGAAGCTAAATGAACGAAAAAGGAAATCGGAAACTGTAGTGAGTGCTTGCCTCGCATTCCTGTTTTTCGCACAACGCCTCCGTTTTATTCAAGATAAATCGGAAGATTTTGAACGACAAGAAGAAGAAGAAGCAGAAAAAACGAAGCTAGAGATTCGGAGGATTCTGTAAGCCAGCAGTTACTTTTCAACGTGGAATTTCGGTACGGCGAAGAGAGTCAAGAGAGGAGCGAGTGTTGAGCAAGTACACTTTCAAAGAGAGACGGAAAAGATAAAAAGAGAAGAGGAACTATGGAGTAGCAGACATTCAATGCCACGAAAGATTTGCAAACATTCAACCGTTTTTAGCAATCAAATATCCTTGTCGGGGAGACAAAAAAAGTGGCAACAATTTTCAAAAAACGGTTTTAATCGGTTGGAGCGTAATCTGTTACATTGAATACAACAGTCGTCTCGCTTGAAACACGCAATTGTAGTTTGCAGGCTTGGAGTCATACGACTTCAATTTACGGTCTGAAAAAAAACTTTGAAAATATATTTTAAAAACACAAAAAAAAGTTGCACTTTGCGACATCGTGCCAAGACCCTTCCGCGTTGAAGAATGTTCCTTTAGATTTCAACCGTAATCCTTTGAAAGAACATTCATGCATGCCGGAATGAAATTCCGCGAGAAAAAAGTTCTGAATATTTCCGAAATATTTTTTGGAATGAAATTCCGTCCGGAGTATTTCCGAAGCTTTTTTCGGAATCCAATTCTGATCGGAATTTTTCCGAACCATTTTTCGTAATTAGACATTTTCAGACTACGGTATGTAAAAGGCTCATGCGAAAAATTGGCTTGCTGGATTCGAACGGAATTACTTTTGATATTTTTCGCTGTCGAAAACTTCCTCTCAATTTCCACCATGGTGGCCACCAGTTTTTACCGTTTTTGTGCTGAAAATGATATTTTTACTTCAAAATTTGAGTTTTTTGATATTCCGAAAATTCCGGACGTTTCAAAATCGGAATGTGTCGCGAATTCAGGTGACCGAATATCACCTCTTCACGACTTTTTCTCCTTTTCAATGAATTCTTCTTTTATTCCCTGTATTTTATGTAATTATATTCACCAACGCCGACGCCGCCCAAACAATGCCGATTTGAATCACCCGCCAATTTGAGGATTACTGTACCCTGCACATCTAACTCTCAACGCGAACCAAGGAAATGCGCCCGCTTTTGGGATCAATTTAGACTCTTGAGTCATTCTCGTGTCTCCCCCAAAACCCATGTTTCTCGTTCCTATTTTTACCTATATTTTTTATATAATATTATTCTGGTGTAATTTTTCTTGTCGGCAGAAAGAATCCGGCCACGGATTCTTTCAGGTGTATCGTTGTAGGCATTTATAAGTAATAAATCGGTGTCTTAAATTCTGTGTTTTGTTGTCTCTTTCTCTCTTTAGGTTATCGTGTCTCAAGGGGCCGTACTAAGGCTATATGCCTGCAAAATATGGTGCATCGACTAAATCAGATATAAATCAGAGACCGGTAGACTTTTGAGAGTAATCGACGCTCCAAGTGTGTACGGTCGCTATATTGCCAAATTCCGGGATGAGAAGGCAGATCGTTTAACAGCTAAACTATGAGCGAAAGCTTCAAAAGAGAATTTTCGAAAGTCCAAAATTGGAAATGTTGAGCGGAAAAGTGGTCATTGAGGAAAGAAGAACGAAGTTGAATGGTCCGAAGGACTTTGATGTGGCCAATGTGGATCAACTTGAAGGCAATGTAGAGCAAAGTGGATCACAAGAAAAGAAAGGAAATTCAAGAAAAGAACGAACGGAAAAATGCACCTTTCGTTGCTCTGTATCCCACAAATCGTGGAACAGCCCCAAGTCGGCAGCAGAAAAGTTTGCGTTTCTGATCCAGGAGAAACGTTGCACTGTGTTTCTCGAAAAACCACCATTCTCGAGAATGCAAAAATATGCCAGCACATAAATTCCAAATTTGCTTCACAGCCCATAACACAGGAATCCACGAAGCAGTTTAAAAAGCTAAAAAAAGAGGAGAGAAAACAGGAAGATAAACCATGAAAACTATCCAGCAGGAACTCTTTCAGATTCAAAATGGATCAGGTTCAAAATGAATCAAGAGATGATGAACTATGTCAAAAATGAATTAACACAGAAGAAACAGAACATATCAAAATTCTCATGTTGTATCAATGATTCACAAAACAGATAAAAATGAAGAATCAAAAGCGAATTCGGGTACAGATATAGACCATCAAGAACATTTAGTACTCAGCGCGTCTAGTACGAATATAGGAGACATTGCTTACATTCTATTGGACAACAAAGAAAAGAGATCTCGTCACATTTATCGATGCAGGTGCTAATTGTAGTCTTGTATCTGAGCAGAGAGCTGCGAAAAATGGGTTTAAGAAAGTTAAGACTGTCACAATGAGATTAAAAGGTTTAGGGAGTGATGAGGTTTTGAGACAAATGCCTCAACGTTGTTATACAAAGAAGAGTAATAGGTTCCAGAAGCTACAGTAAGCTGAATACAAATATCTATGTACCACCATTGTCAGAGAAAGAAAGTTGAAAATTAGATGAAATTGGAATAGATACAGAATGATTAAGAAAACTAGAACGGAGAAATAGAGAGATAATTGACAGGATAATTGGTACAGGCGTGATCTGGGATTTCTGAAAACAGCAGGGTACAGAAAATTTGAAGAATAAAAGAGCATAGTCTGTAAAGTTAGGGATTCCAGCCACATTTGATTGTAATAATCATGCGGAAGAACAAGAAGATAATAAGCGTTCGATTGTGAAGATGAAGAAGAGTCCATGAATTGTCTATGTTAGGGTGAGGATAAAGGAGAAGAAGAAATTCAGTCGATATTGGCATTAAAGAGAAAGAGTTGGAAGAAGAAGATGTGTCCAAAATTGAAGAATCTATGGAGGAATCCAAGAAGGTGTCATAATGGAAAGAGAGCCAAATACTGGTCAAACTACCATTGAGTGATAACGATGAGCATTTGACTGGTAAGCTGCCAGTGGATTTGAAAAGGTTAACCAACCAAGTTGGAAAATTAATGTACCTCTAGAATTTCAGAAGAATATAAGATTATTAACAAACAATGGAACTCTTAAATCAGTGGAAAATCTGTGAATGAAGTATTAAATAAAACTGCTATTATATTCCTAAAACTGCTATTAGATTCAATAGTTGAGGAGAACGGTCCTAGAGAAGAGGAGTAAAAGAAGAGCAGATACAAGCAGCCACGAAGTAGAAAATTTAACGTTGAATCAATGTATCAGAAAAGTAAATTCATGAATCTGTTTATGGCCATTGGATTGAGAAGTAGAACAGGAAAGTTCAACGATACCATTGATTTCAAAAAAAAACATTCAACCTGATCAGACTGCAGAAAGAAGACAAATAATACATGAGATTCGTGTGGCTGAAAGATTGGAAGAAAGACAGTTAAGAAAATTTCTTACCTTGTAGGTTTCAGGTAACCAATTGAAATGTTATGCTCTCGTTAGTTCACCCTAATTTATATGGAAAGATATCATGCAGAGATTAATCAAGAAAATGAAGAAAACTTGTATGTAAACAAGTTAGTATTTTGGCAAATACAGAAGAAGAGTTTCCAGAATTGTATGAATAGGAAAGAGCAGGAGCCCAATGCGGAATGAGTTTGCACAAAACCCAAGAGAATTCAGTGAATATAGGATATAAGATTCCTATTGATGACAGAGCACCAGATAAGCTAAATAAGATGCAAGGAATGTTAATTGGTTCAAGGAAGGATTTGTTGACTATGTCACTAACACCGCCAGAAGTCGTTCCTACAACAAGGAAATTACAATCAGCTCTTGTCAAGATTATGATGCTCTTGGAGGGGTACCTCCTATTACAGTAAGATTGAGATTGTTTATTCAATCTGGGCTGAGACAGGAAAAAGAACAACAGAAAGAAAGACAAGGCTACGCTCGTCTGATCTTAACAGACGTATTAGAAATTTAAAGATTGAAATGGGAAGACATGTATCTTACCCAATTGAAAGAATCAAAGAAGAAGAAGAAACATTATTCTACAACTCAGCCAAAATTGGACAGATAGTACCAATGGAGTAACGATTGAGGTCGAAGCACAAGTGGCTGATGTCCAAGATACAAGTTCATCTTAATGAACAAGGTCAAATCAGGACGGCAACAGTGAAGTATTGTGAAATGGAAGTACTGAGATCAGTAAACCATTTAATTCCATTTGAAATAGTAAAGGAAGAAACCGCTGATGAGCCGGCAGAGCAAAATGAAGAAAAAACCACTGAACCAGAACCACAGAAAAAGAATAAGGAAAGTGGAATATTTAAATGAAGGAAGGAAGAAGTAGGAAAACCAGATCGAAAAGCAAAACAAAGAATCACATATGGTGATTGTGAAAATACAGAAATTGGAGATCTAGACAGTAAAGAAAAAATAGGAAGATGAAGGAGAAAGAGTTGGGCAGTGCCTTAAGACCAGGAATGGACCAGATACTCAAGATGAGAAAAAAAAGGCTGGCCCTGGCAGTGTCGCGAATTCAGGTGACCGAATATCACCTCTTCACGACTTTTTCTCCTTTTCAATGAATTCTTCTTTTATTCCCTGTATTTTATGTAATTATATTCACCAACGCCGACGCCGCCCACAACAATGCCGATTTGAATCACCCGCCAATTTGAGGATTACTGTACCCTGCACATCTAACTCTCAACGCGAACCAAGGAAATGCGCCCGCTTTTGGGATCAATTTAGACTCTTGAGTCATTCTCGTGTCTCCCCCAAAACCCATGTTTCTCGTTCCTATTTTTACCTATATTTTTTATATAATATTATTCTGGTGTAATTTTTCTTGTCGGCAGAAAGAATCCGTGGCCGGATTCTTTCAGGTGTATCGTTGTAGGCATTTATAAGTAATAAATCGGTGTCTTAAATTCTGTGTTTTGTTGTCTCTTTCTCTCTTTAGGTTATCGTGTCTCAAGGGGCCGTACTAAGGCTATATGCCTGCAAAATAGAATGCTTGCGGAACATATTGTTGTTGGAGTCGTTTCCAGAAAAATTTGTTTCTCTGCTTCAGTATCTTGAACACTTCACTTTTTTTTTACTAATGTCTTAATGTAAGCCTATCTGCATTTAGAATTATTCGTTCCCGCGTTCCTTTTGTCTCGCTGTCTGTGTATCCCTATTAAATAGCGTTTCTGTTTAGCGCTCGCGCAGCGGACCTGGCGACCATGCGATTTTATTCTTGTCTCTGCAGCTAATGCTTACCCTTCTTCATCGATTTGTTCTCAATCACGATTTTCCAGAAAGAAAAATGGTGGTCAACGTCTTCATCAGCGCTGTAACCACCGACACACTCAGCCGGAAAGATGCTGTCGCCTGGGTTAACAACCTGCTCAAGGTTAACTAATTCGAAAGCATTGAAAATATGTTTATTATTTCAGAGTCACTTCACGAAGGTTGAAGAAATGGCTTCAGGTGCTGCATACTGTCAGCTAACACACCTATTGTTCGAAAACTCCATCAACTTGCGAAAAGTGAAGTTCAACCCAAAGAGTGAACCGGATATCCTCACAAACTGGAAAGTCCTCACAACAGCCTGGAAAAATTTAGGAATCGATAAGCCAGTGGATGTTGAGAAGATGAAAAGAGCGAAATTCCAGGACAATATGGAGTTCCTGCAATGGTTTTACAAAGTTTGATACTCCGAATGTATCCGTAAACTCAATTTTATTTTATTGCAGTTCTTCAACGCTAATTTGGTGGGGGATGCCGAAGACTACGACGCAGTTGGAGCTCGCTTCAACGAAGATCTGCCTGCACTGAAAGGATCTTCAGGCGCCCGTCCAGTTGTCGCTGCTGTGCGCCCAACTGCTGCTCCTGTTGCCAAACCGAAGACTGTCGCCACCGCAGCTGCGCCAAATGCTACTGCAAAAGCATCCGTTGCCCCAACTGTACGCAATGGTGCTCGTCCAGCTCCAGTGACGTCAGCAGGCACTCGACGTTCTGAGCCATCAGAAAACGAGGAGCTTCTGAAGCAGGGTAATAATAGATATAGATTTTTTGACCCAAGAATAAAATTTCAGAAATCGAAAAGCAAAAGTCATTGGCTGCTGACTGGGAGATGATGGCTAATGAGATGGAATCGGAACGCGAGTTTTACTACTCGATGCTGCAACGGGTCGAAGGACTCGTTCATGAAGCCGATGAACTGAAATCCACCACAATCGATGTCGAAGCTCTCAAAGCCGTTCTGTATCAGTCGAACGAAGAAGGCGAACATGAAGTGGAACCAACAGAGAACGGCGCCGATAGTTCGCAACACAGAGACACTCTTCCAGCCAACCTTGACGACACAGAAACTTTCTGAAGAATTGCACTCATTAATCCCATTTCCACCCGTTTCTGTCTCCTATCCCATCGAATTTGTTTGTGATTTCTCTCCTGATCCGTCCCCTTTCGCGTTCTATGTGCCATTGACTAGTTATTAATTTATTGGAGTTACTAATTTTCTTGTGAAATATGCATATTTATTCATTTATCTGTAACTTATTCAAATGGAGATGAACATGATTGACCTACAAATTTCGTCTAGGTTTTTGATTTCAGACAATATATGTTGATATCAAAACAGTACATCTATTTATTATTTTCCTTTCTTCTGTTAGATATTCGTTTATAAAAATAAATAAAGTTTATAAAATGATTTCGACAGAAGTTTCAGTTTTTTAGAGCCTATGGTCAGATTCAGTATGAGCTACGCGAATCTTGAGCGTAGGCTTGGCGTCTTTAGAGCGGTCGCTGGGCGGCTTCTACAGAAAACTAAAGCGACATCCGCCCTGCGACAGCTTAGAAGCCGCTTAAATCCAGCCTAAAAGTTGCGGGCAACAGCCGAGATAGTTAAAGTATTTATTCCGAAAACGATTTTGGCAGCTTTTGCGAAATATCCCTTTGCCATGCGCTTCTCTCTAACCAACCTTTTTTCAGATTGAAATAATGCGTCGGAAAAAAGTATCGATGGATAAACTGTTCGGATATAAAGAGGAAGCGGTGGTTACCAGAGGTTTGTGAGAATCAGGAATCCATTCATGTGGTGCTATGTTTCAGAAAGCTGGGGTGTCGACCTACAACCACTAGCTCCTGTTGCGAATGAATCTAAGAAACGACAAAAAACAGCATCCACTGTACCTAAGAAGAAGGCGAAAATAGAACGGGGTGCAGAAGATAGTGAGTTTTTATCAGTGTTGAAAAAGTAAATTTTAAGAAGGTTTGTAGTTAGAGAATATCTAATCAATTTGATAATAAAAAAACCTGATTACCAGCTAAAAACCATTTACCTTATTCATAAGCAGTCAACTAAAAACTGTTGTTTGATTAAACTACATTTCCATTATCAATATAATGCTTCTCGAAATTTTCAGTCACGGACGAAACTACAAAACAACTTGCAACGGAACTCTTGGATCAAATCGAGACTACACCGGGTCGAATTATCTTGAACTTCTCATCGTGAGTTGAAAGAAATAGTTTTTTTTTCAAAATAAAAGAATTTGATTCAGGACAAAGTCTTCTGAAGTGTGCCCACTTCCACCGAGTTTCAATCAAAATGTGAAATCAAACTGGTCCATTGATAATTTAAAAGAAAGACAGCTGAGTGGTCTCCTCGACCAGAACTGTAAAAGCTTCAAGCCATTGGGAATCAAGAAGATTCAAAAGGTGAAAACTGAAGAAGAGGTTCGTTTTCTAAAACTCCTTTTCTAATTTTCTCAATTTCTCTGCAGACACTCCCGAGACAATTGGATCTGAAGCAAACTATCGCAAAACTCAAGAATGAAGATAAGAAAGATGATGAGTATGTTGGATTCTCAGTTGCTATTGCCAACGTTCTCAGAAGATGCGAGCCGAAAATTGCGTTAGTTTTTTCACTCAATTGAAATGAAATCCAATATTTTTTCAGCGAAAAACTTGCTCAATCGATCGTTGCCCTTCTCGAAACCGATGCTTCGAGCGTAGTCCATAAGATGTAATTGGAAATCCTCTCTGAAAAATCAAAAAACCGGAAGTTTCAGAATCTCCCAAAATCTGAAATTTCTCATGAGTGCTTTACAGACAAAGTTGTTTAGGATGTCAATTCTATAAATAGAAATCTCAGTCAGAAATTTGAAATTGTAAATTCAAAGCGTTTTGTGAATTCAGAAAATCTGAAAATTTATCAAACCGTTGAACAAAAAAGAAACACGTTAGAAAATCATAAAATTCAATAATCGGTCTAAATAAGGCACATAGAGAAAAATAGGTTGGTCCAGAGAAGAACAAAATGCGATAGTTATTATGATTTGATCATATTGTATTATGAGTTTTGAGAGGTTAATAGACAAAAGTGAAAAAAGGATTGTAAGCCCGGAAAGAAATCGATTGAAGTTGGTTGCGAACTGGGAGGTGAAACCTGTTTAAGAAGAAATGGCAGATTGGCAAAAAACAAATTAACAATCAAACAAGTAACAGCTAGAAAAAGACTGATACATGAATATTACAACTAAAGAAATGTTAGAGTTACTCGTCATCTTCGTCTGCTTTTTGTAATTGTAACTTGTATTTCTCTTGACTCGATCTTCGTTCAC